CCCCAAAACCCCAAAACCCCAAAACCCCAAAACCCCAAAACCCCAAAACCCCTAGGCTGGATTCGAAATTGAATTATTTCAAGCTAAAATTGTTTCTATTTTAATGTATCAAGATTTTTCTCAAGATGGGCCACATTGAAGGTATCTAGCTTCTTGATGAGTTTCCCTTTATTGAACAGGAAGATTTTAGGATAGCTACAAGCTGAAGTCTCCTTGAGTTTGACAAACTTCTCGGGGAATTCAAACTCCTTGGCATTGATGCTAGCAAAGATAACATTATTGACTTCTATTGGGAATGAAGGCTGACAAAACTCACCTTTTGAGGTATGCTTCTTGGCAAATCAAGAAATCTCTTCGTCGGCTTCTTTACATTCATCCGCATCTGGAGACCAGAAATAGATGACTCATCTGGGCATTTCCTGGATAAACTGTTCCAGAGTTTTATAGTCACTTATTGTGAGCATATTGGCTGGACCTTCGAGCTTGGCAACCGCTGTCTCTTGGGTTATTGCAATGTTGTTAAACAGAGCTAAGATGTTAGGGTTCACATCTATCTCACCATTGGTGGTGCTGATGTACTGAAAGATATCGAACTCTCCCTTCACAAACCCATCGAGCTTATCTTTGATCAGCGGGGCTATTGAGACTCCTATTCAGTATGATGACCAAGGTAAGCTTACAGGCTGGGTTTTTTAATATTTCTTCAACTTGGATGAGGATCTCCTCTGAGACTGACTTGCCTGTCAAGAACTGCAAGAGCTCATTGCAGTAATGGTTACAGTTGTTGGTAACAATATCATAACCACCCTTGGAATATTTGCGGCACATGCCATTAATGAACTCGTGAAAAGTTTTTTGGTCTATGTCTGTTTGGCCGTAATCAACGCTCTTGTCGATGGTGGTATAGCAAAGAGAGCCTTGAGATCTTCCTTCTGTACCTGATCCACTGCAGTATTCAACACCGTAAACTTCGATAGCTAGATGATAGATGGCTTCATAGTGCTTCCCAAATAGTTTTGTAGAATATTTCTTAGCCATCCCCATGCTGAGATCATAGAAGTTAAGCTTCACTCTATTTTCTGTCTGCTCCATTTTATTCTAATTAGCTTTGTCAACATTTTGCTACTTAAGTGGGGTTTTGGGGTTTTGGGGTTTTGGGGTTTTGGGG